TCGATTCCAACTCATAGCAACCTATAGGACAGAACAGAACTGCCCCATAGAGTTTACTGAACTTAAATCAGGGTCAAAGCTACGGGCTGTGCGAATCCAAAGTAGAAAGTGCCCCTCACAACAAACAGATTAAGAAAAGGAACCTTTCTGATCAAAAACAACTATGTTGCTGATTTACTGCACACCCTTGGAAAATTCTCTTAGGCTGTATGAGCTATACTGTAGTGACTTTGCAAATAATTACTACCATTTTAATTTAAATACTAAAAAAACAATTATGCGTAATATGAATAATACAATTAATCAAGAAAAAGAGCCTAAATAATCCAGTGTCACAACAATACAACTGTAGCTAATTTACTTCCTTGAAACTGTGGTAGTGGTAAAAAATGTAAAAATCACATTAAGATATAACAACAGGGGTCTTTCAATTTCTGGAATGAGTGCCTAGGTGGTGCAAATGGTTTGCACTCATCTGCTAACCTAAAGGTTGAGGTTCAAATCCACCCAGTGTCACCGTGGAAGAAAGGCTAGGCAACCTGCTTCTGGAAAGATTACAGCCAAGAAAACCCTATGGAGCAGTTCTACTCTAACACATGGGATCACCATGAGTCAGAACTGACTTGAAGGCAACGGGTTTAGATTTTTTGCATTTCAATTTTCTGCAATAGGAGTTCTGATACATATTACAGAAAAATATTTTACTTTCTTACTGAATTGTTATGAAATATATACGGAAAAATCTTAACGCACTGATTAAAGACGTTGTTAGGTGCTGTCGAGTCGGTTCCGACTTATAGAGACCCTACAGGACAGAGAAGAACTGCCCCATACGATTTCCAAGGAGTGGCTGGTGTATTTGAACTGGTGACCTTTTGGTTAGAAACCAAGCTCTTAACCACTATGCCACCAGAGCTCCAATTAAAAACATAGTACTGAACAATAAAGCCTGAACTGAAGAGTCAGATAACCTTGGTTCTAGTTCTAATTGCTAATTAGCTCTAAGACCTTAAGCAAACTGCAACCTCTACAGAGTTCAATTTTCTCACTTTTTACATTTTACATGAGAACTTCACTAGATGACTGTTATCTTCCACCTATAACATTATGTTTTTGAAAGGGATCACCAATCCAACATCATATTTAATGTTAAGAGTAAATCAGCTGCATATCCACTCCTGGAAATAATAACCAACTAGCATTTCTCTTTTCCTGTGCAAAGAATTGATTCCAACATTCCTCTGTTTTCATTCACACTATACCCTCAGACCAGAGAAAAAGTCTAGCTCACTCAAGAAATCCCAGTGCCACACTATATCTTGGAAATGCTACTGCCTTCCTCTTCTTTTTATCTAGGTATCACACAAGATTATTATATAAACCAACAGGTGAAAGTAAAAGTATTGTAGAGCTTAAAAGCATTTAAAAATGAACAACTGGACTAGGAACTACTACAACAGATAACAAGGAAAAAACTGAAACCCAGGGCTACGCAGTTATTAGAAGACCCAGAACTAAAAAGTAGTTAAAGCATGGTGTTAAACCAGTGCTTTTTCAATACTCCATTCTATAAATAATACTATATGTCCCATCATCTGAAATTACCTTAACATGTTTTATATTACTGGAAGGTTCAAAGTTATTTCATCACTTCACCAATTGTTTGAGTGTAAGTGAAAATCAAGATATGTATCATCACTGAATGGGAGATATGTCGTATAACGTATCTACCTTGCCCATCACCCAGTCAAAAGCAGATTTAACAACCCTCACAGACAGCTGACCCCAGATTCAAGACTCTTCCCTCCTGATGTCATGTTTTCTAGTTTTTAAAAATGCACACACAACAAAGACTTATTATCTATCACTATACAATTGTTTTAATAATTTTTATGAAATAAACTTATGAATAGAAAGAAATGTTTGAGCTGCTCGCCTGATTTCTTTTTAAATTTGGATCACAACTAAGCCACACTACTCAAAACTAAAGAAATGTGGACCACACCATGTTTCCTTAGAAGGATATCATTAAATATGAATACTATCCACATTCAGAAAAAATTCTGTTCTAAAGCATCAAACTACTTCACCATTATGAACCCCAGTAACTAGTAGAATAGACATTTAATAAGTATTTGCTGAATAAGCTGAATGACTAAAGCAACCCTTATTTCTATGCCGTTTATTACTTTGCAAAGGAACCTATAAAATAGAAATATAATAAATAAGTGGTACAAATTAAAACAAATGTACCTATGAATACCCACCAACTGCCGTTGAGTTGATTCCAACTCACAGCGACCCCACAGGATTTCCAAGGCTGAACCCCTAAACCTATTGCCCTAAAATAATCTTTAAACTTTGACCCAAAAATATCTCCTGAAGTCTTTGTAAAACCAAACAACAGTTTAGCTGAACTAGTAAAAAATGTCTGCCTCAAGCATTATGTTCTATTAAGAACTATATGTATGGGATCAAGTTGACAAGAAACTTGAAAGACTAAATAGGAAGCTCAGAGGGCAGTGAATTTATGTTAATGGGGGAGTAACACAGAAAAGGAGCGTAAGAATGGTTGCACAACTAGAAGAATGTAATCAACGTCACTAAACGGTACATGTGGAAACTGTTGAATCGGTTTATGTTTTGCTGTATATATTCTCAATAACAAAAGAAATAAATTTTTTTTAAAAAATGCACTAAGTTTCTCTTAAGGGTGATTTAAAACTTGGAAACATAACATGATGAACAAAACTAATATCTCTAAATTGTACACATAAAAACGGTTGAAATGGTAAACGTTTTGTTATAAAATTTTACCATAATAAAATGAAAACAAATAAAATTTTAAAAGACTTTAAAACCACCAGCAGTATTAAACACACCAAAAGAACTAAAGAAAACAGAAAAAACTAAAAAAAAAAAAAATCAGGAAAACAATATATGAACAAAATGAGAATCTCAATAAAGAGGAAGAAATTATGAGAACAGGAGAAATACTGGAGCTGAAAAAATAATGGAAAATAAAAATCACCGGAGAGGCTCAACAGCAGATTTGGGCTGTCAGAAGAAAGAATCAGCAAACTTGAACCCAGGACAACTGAAATTCAGCCGAAGGAGCAAAAAAAAAAAAAAAAAAAGCATTTAAAAAATTAATGGAGATTAAAGGAATTGTGACACATCATCAAGCAGACCAACATACGAATTATGAGAGTCCCAAAAGAAGAAAATGAGGAATATAAGGATTTTTGAAGAAATAACAGCTGAACACTTCCCAAAATTGATGGAAGACATGAACCTACACATCCAATAATTCCAACTAAGATAAACTCACAACCAACATTGAAACACCTTATAATCAAATTCCTCAAAACCAAAAATAAAGAAGCTTGAAAGAAACAAGAGAAAAGCAAATTGTCGCAAACAAGGGATCCTCAATAAGAACAAGCACCAAATCTCAAAAAACTTAAATACTTATGTTCAACAAAAGACTTTATCAAAAGAGTAAAGAGACAATCTACAGACTGAGAAAAATCTTTGGGAACAATATAACTGATGAGGATCTAATATCTGAAATATATAGGAAACTACAACTTAACAGAAAAAGATAACCCAATCAAAAAATGGGCAAAGGACATGAACAGACATTTCACCAAAGAGGATATTCAAATAACCAACAGACACATGAAAAGATGTTCAATGTCATTAACCATCATAAAAATGCAAATCAAAATCACAATGAGATACTATTTCACTCCCATTAGGATAGCCAAGATTTTTTTTAAAAAATGGAAAATAACAAGCATCGGAGGGAACATGCAGAAACTGGAACCCTCATCCATTGCTGGTGGAAATGTTAAATGATACAGCCATTGTGGAAAACAGTCTGGTGGTTTGCAAAGAACTAGAGAAAGAGCTGCAATATAAACCCAGCAATTCCATTCATAGGTATACACCCCAGAAAGCTAATAACAGTGACAATAACAATATGCACACCCTATGTTCATCGCAGCACTATTCAAGATAGCAAAAAGATGGAAACAACCTAAATACCCATCAACAGATCATTGAATAAGCAAAATGTGGTACATACATACAATAGAATACTACTCAGAGAAAGAAAAATCAGTTCCCAAAACATCTTGGAACATGGATGGACCCGGAGAACATTATGTGAGCAAAATAAGTCCATCACAAAAAAAAAACAAATGTTCTCACTTCTATGAAATGATATGAACAAATAAACATACAAAAACTAATGTTCATTAGTGGCTACCAGGGATTGGGGGTACTAGGGGAATTCAGTCTCTTGACAACAGACACTTATTTTTGTGATGAGAAAGGTAACATTGAATGAGAATGAAGCATACACAGTTTGACAAAGATAATAATGTCAGTAAAAAAAAAAGGACCTGTTATTAATTGCTACGGCATATATAATGTTGAAACAACAGCAACAACGAAAAAATACATGTGCATGTGCAAGTATACATTGTATGTATGTAGGCATACGTATGCATAGGTATATACATATAAGTGTATACATAAGTACACGCATATGTATCTGTATCTATGTGTATGTACACACAGTAAAACCTGAAATACCAGAACCTCTGTAAGGTAGAAATCTGTCAGAGAAGAAAAACTATAATATTTTCCACTAATAGAGAGTAACAGAATAGTGAGACTGCACCCTGTCAAAGGCAGAAATCTTGCAAGATCCAGAAAAACAAGGCAGTCCTATCGAGTTTCGGCTCTCACAGATGTCGCTGTACAGGTAGTCCCTGACTTACAATGGGGTTCTGTTCCAATGACTCCATTATAAGTAAGTTTTAATATAAATCAAATACCTCTTTTTTTTTTAGTTTTCATTATGACTGCCTTTTATCATCAGTACGTTTATAAATTCAATCTTTATTTCTCTTTGGGGGTTGGAAACATTACCTATAAATTTACAGATATATCTTAATACATACATATGAAAAAAACACATAAAAACTTACTTCCAGGATGAAGAATTGCATGTTGGCATTTTGTTAGTTGAGGTAATAACTCCACTTGTGGAAAGTTCTGGATCATCTGGATTATCCCTGGGAATGGGGGTGGCATTTCTAGTCAGAAAATTAATGAGAGTTGTCTGTATGGTCCTTTTCTTTTTCTCTTCATATATTTTTCAGAAACATCTCACTGCTTCCTGAATCTGCCTATCGACTTGAGCAAAGCAATTAGCGTTTAGGTCCATGTTTTCAAGCAACTGAAGCCTCTGATTTAGTTTAAAAATCTAAATCTATACAGCAGTGTTTTGAACAGTAAATCGTAAAATTAAACATTTCTGAGTGAACGTTTGAGAATGATAGTGTCGGTAAATCACATGCTGCAACACTGTATGTAGTACATCTTACCAAAGATAAAATGTATCAAAAAATAAAGTCATAAGAGCGGTACCTATATATTCATGCATATGACAAAGCACATATGGGGCACAGATACGGATACCTCTTAGACATAACTGAACACCTCACATAATTAAATTTCTAGGTTCAGAGGATTAGGACCATAGTTGTGTGGCACATATCAGTAAACTAGCATAATATAGTTCATAAAGTTAGGTTCTACGTCTAGTTTGGTGAGTAGCGTCTGGGGTCTTGAAAGCTTGCGAGTGCCCATCTAAGATACAACTATTGGTCTGTATTAATTCAGAGCAAAAGGGAAGAAAACCAAAGACTCGAAGAAACGAGTCTACAGGACAAATAATCAAGACAAACCACATCCTCATCTACCCTGAGACCAGAAGAACTAGATGGTGCCTGGCTACCACTACCGACCATTCTAATCAGGGCCACAATAGGCTTATGAACCAGCAATAGGACAGAACTGGGAGAAGAGAACCTCAAATTCCTTTAAAAAACAAAACCAGACCTACTGGGCTGGTTGAGACTGGAAGACACCCCAGGACTATTGCCCTGAGATACTCTTCAAATAGTGGACCAAAACTAACCCTTGAGGTCACCTTGTACCTAAACAACAAATTTGTTCAAAAAAGAATGAATATCACCTGTAAGGACTACGTTCCTTTAAAAAATCACCTACATGAGCCCAAACCAGACAACAATCACTTTAAAACAAAGATGAGCATACAAAGGGGCACAGAATCTACATTAACGGAAACAGAACAAGAACGGAAATAATGAGAATGTTCACACATTGTGAATAATTTAATCAATATCACTAAACAACTTGTGTATTAAATGTTCAACAGGAAACTAATCTATGTAAACCTTCACTGAAAACATGATAAAATATTGTTTAAAAAATAACCGGACATCCAAATGGAAAAATATCAGTTTATACCTCTACCTCACACTATACACAATAATTCATTCAAAATGAATCACAGACTTGAATATAAGAGTGAAAAGTATAAAGCTCTTAGAAGAAAACATTGGAGTAAAGCTTGATCTTAGGTTAGACAAAAATTTAAAATATGACACAAAAAGCACAGTGGACTTCATCAAAATTAAAAATGTTTATGCTTCAAAAGACACCATTAAGAAAGTAAAAAGAATAGAAAAATTATACAGACACGTAACAAAAAAAGAGATCGAAGAGATAAAAACACCTTCAACCAAAAAAAGCCCTGGCCCAGACGGCTTCACTGGACAATTCTACCAAACTTTCAGAGAAGAGCTCACACAAATACTACTCAAATTATCCCAAAGCATAGAAAAGGAAAGAATAGTCCCAAATACATTCTATGAAACCAGCATAACCCTAATACTAAAGCAAAGACACCACTGGAAAAAAATAAAACTAAAGACTAACTTTCATGAACATAGATGCAAAAATTCTCAACAAAATTCTTGTCAACAGAATTCAACAGCATATCAACAAATAAAACATGACCAAGTTAGATTCATACTAGGTAAACAGGGATGGTTCAACATTACAAAATCAATCAACATACTCCACCACGTAAATAAAGGAAAAGAATCACACGATCATACCAATCAATGCAGAAAAGGCATTCGGCAAAGTCCAACACCTATTCCTGATAAAAACTCTCAATAAGTGTAAAAAGAAAATTCCTTGACAAAATAAAGAGTGTTTATACAAAACCAACACCCAACATCATTCTAAAAAGAGAAAGAGACTAAAAGTATTTCCCAAGAGTACAGGAACCAGACAAGGATTCCTTTCATAACCACTCTTATTCAACATTGTGCTGGAAGTCCTAGCTAGAACAACAGGGCAAAAAAAGGAATAAAGAACATCCAAATTGGCAAGGGAGAGGTAAAACTATCCCTATTTGCAAATGACCTGATCGTATACACAGAAAACCTCGAAGAATCCACAAGAAAGCTACTAAAACAAATAGAAAATTTCAGCAAAGCAGCAGGATACAAGATTACCATACAAAAATCAGTTGAATTACTCTATGAAAACAAACATAACTTCTAAAAAGAAATCAACAAATCAATATCATTTACAATAACCCCTAAGTAGATAAAAAACTTAAAAATAAATCTAACCAGGGATTTAAAAGACCTATACAAAGAACTACTGCAAGAAACCAAAAGAGACCTACGTAAATGGAAAAACATACCATGCTCATAGATAGGAAGACTCAACATTGTGAAAATGTCAGTACTACCCAAAACAATCTACAGATACAATGCAATCCTGATTCAAATTCCAACAGCATTCTTTAATGAGATGGAAAAACCACTAACTTTATATGGAAAAGGAAGAAACCCTAGATGAATAAATAAGATGGAAGGCCTCATACTACCTGATCTTGGAACCTATTATACAGCCACAGTAGTCAAAACAACCAGGTACTGGTACAACAGAAATGCAAAGCAATGGACGGAATTGAGAACCCAGACGTAAATCCATCCAACTATAAGCAGCTAATATTTGACAAAGGGCCGAAGTCCATTAAATGGGGAAAAGACAGTCTCTAACAAATGATGCTGGATATCCATCTACTAAAAAAAAAAAATTAAACAATAGCTATATCTCACACCATACACAAAAACTAACTCAAAATGCATCGGAGACCTAAATACAAAACCTAAAATGATAAAAATCATGAAAGAAAAAATAGGGACAATGCTAGGAGCCTTAGGACATGGCATAAATACAATACAAACCATAACTAACAATACACAAAAACCGTAAGATAAACTAGATAGCTGGGAGCTCATAAAAATTAAACATTTACACTCATCAGCTGGGAGCTCATAAAAATTAAACATTTACACTCATCAAAAGACTTCAACAAAAGAGTAAGAAGAGAACCTACAGACTGGTAAAAAGTTTTTGGCTATGACGTATCTGTCAAGAATGTTATCTCTAAAATCTACAAAATACTTCAACGCTTCAACAACAGGTAAATAATCTAATCTAAAAAATGGGCAAAGGATACAAGCAGACACTTCACCAAAAAAGACATTTAGGTGGCTAACAGACACACGAGAAAATACCATCGTTACCTATTAGAAAAACGCAAATTATAACGCGATACCATCTCACCCCAACAATACTCACACAACCCGAAAAAACACAAAATAACAAATGTTGGAAAGTTTGAAGGGAGATGGGAACTCTTTTGCACTGCTAGTACGGATGTAAAATGGTACCACCACTCTGGAAAATGATACGCTTCCTTAGAAAGCTGGAAATAGAAATACCATACGATCCAGCAATCCCTCTCCTTGGAATATAACGTAGAGAAACACCCGTCACACGAACAGACACATGCACACCCATGTTCACTGCAGTACTATTCACAATAGCAAAAAAACGGAAACAACCTAAATGCCCATCAACAAAACAGATGAATCAAACAAATTACAGTACATACACACGGTGGAATACTACACAACGATAAACAACAACGATGAATCCGAGAAACATCTCACAACATGAATGAATCTGGAAGGCATTATGCTGAGTGAAATAAGTCAGTCACGTTAAGGACAAATATTATACGAGACCACTATTATAAAAACTCAAGAAGATTTACGCACAGAAAAAAACATTCTTTGATGGTCATGAGGGTGGGGAGGGAGGGGGAGGGGCAGTCACTAGATAGTAGGCAAGTGTTAACTTTGGTAAGGAGAAAAACAAAACACAATACAGAGGAAGTCAACACAACTTGACCAAAGCAAAGGCACAGAAGTTTCCTAGATATATCCAAAGAGCTTGAGGGAACAAGCTGCTGGGGAGAGGAGCAGGGGACCATAGTCTCAGGGGACATGTAGGTCAATTGGCATAACGTAGTTCATAAAGAACATGTTCTACATCTCACTTTGGTGAGTAGCGTCTGGAGTCTTAAAAGCTTGTGAGCGGCCATCTAAGATGCGTCTATTGGTCCCATCACGTTCAGAGCAAAGGAGAATGAAGAAAACCAAAGATACGAGGAAAATATTAACCCAAAGGACTGAAGGATCACATGAACCAAAAACTCCACCAACCTGAGCTCAGGCAAACTAGATGATGCTCAGCTACCACCACCAACAGCTCTGAGTCCCGGGAAGAGCAGGAGAAAAGTACAGAATAAAATTCAAGTTAACAAAAAAAGACCAGACTTACTGGTCTGACAGAGACTAGAGGAACCCCTGAGACTATGGCCACCCAGACACCTTGCTAACTCAGAAATGAAACTACTCGCAAAGCCCACTTTTCAGAAAAAGATTAGACAAGCCTGTGAAACAATAACACGTGTGAGAAATGTGCTTCCTAGTTCAAACATACGAGACCAAACAGGCAACTCTCACCCAACAGCAAGATAAGAAGGCAAAAAGAGACAGGAACTAGATGAAAGGACACAGGGAACCTGGAGTGGAAAAGGGGCAGTGTGCTGTCACACTGTTGACACTGCAACCAATGTCACAAGGCAATATATGTATAAAGTTCTGAATGAGAAATTAACTTGAGCTGTAAACTCTCACCTAAAGCACAACAAAATAAAAAATAAATCCTATATTCTAAAAAAAAAAAAGTAAAATAACAAATCACAGTAAAAAATATATGCAAATCACATATTTGATAAAGGACTTTCTATCAAGAATACATAAAAGGGCTC